TATGGGGGAGTGGGTCTCTGGTGGGCCTGATGGGGGTGCTCAGCTGGGAGGGGACAGGGAAGATCTGTGTGGACAGAGGGCACTGGGTAGGGGTGGTGGTGTGCAGGGCGCTGTGCATTTGTGGCATAGCGGGTAAAGGGGGCTCTATCCATAGAGAATCGGGAGGGGGGGGGGTTCCAGTGTTGGGCAGGGAGGGGCTGTAATGCAGTATGGGACCACCCGGAGGGGAAGGAGCATGCTGGCAGCACAGGGCTGGGAGGGGCCTTTATGCATCTGGCAATGGCTGCTTTGTAAATAGTGCCCTCACACTGGGCTGGGCAGAGTGGGGTCACCCCTCCCATGCCCTTGGCTGGCCCCTGGCTTCAGGGACCAACCCCCCCACCATGCTCCATTGCCCCCATGGGGGCCCACAAATATGCTTGGCACCAGGCCCACGAAAGGTTAATCTGGCCCTGTGACAAGAAATGCATTATTCTGACATTGCTGTCTAGGGTCTATAACATGCTGATGCATAAAAAGGGTGAAGAAAGGTGGTAAATCTATCCCTCCTCCTAAGCCTGAGAGCAGTCGACTCAGAAAACAGAATTGACTGGAAGCTGGTATGTCAGCTACTCTTAAAGTGACCTGCCAAGTGCCAAGACACAAGTGTTGGGAATTTTAAACAAACGTTATTAAAAAACCCAGCTATTAATTTAAGAAAGAACCAACTAAAGGTGATTTAGAAAGTGTTCATGGAAGCCAGTGGTTAACAGTGAACAGGTTACAGAATTGGGACTCCCTTGTTTTGGGGAAAAGATGGCTTGTAAATCAATTGAGACACAAAAGCAACAAAGACACTTACCTACACAAAACTCAGGGTCGAATGACCATGTTGAATCTGCATCACATATAACTACAGGAGACTTTCGAGGGTCCAAAGTGTATCCTGGGCGACAGGAGTAGCTCAGAGTGTATCCAACAAGATAGCGACTCCACTTTTTCCCGGTTACCTCAGCAAAACTGAGCCTTGGAGGAGAACCACACTGGCCTAGCCATAGAGACAGACAGAAGCAGGGGGGAAGCAAGTCAGCTAGAAAAGATACAGACTCTACGAACTGGGCAATCCCTGTAACTCGTTTCCTTGGGGACAATGTGGCTGGATTGTTCCCATCGCCGCTTTGAAGCTGGTTTGCTGGAGGGTTTGGTACAAGAGTGTCACTGTCACACCCCGGCAGGAGCGCGCACCGCCCTACGAGCCCCCAGGCAGACTGTGCACGTTACGGACCATCCCGCTGTACCGATCCCAGCCGGCCATGAGCCGGTTCCGCTCCCGCAGCCAGGCACGGTTTCTAGGGGCGGGACCAGCCTGAAGCGGGACAAAACCGGCAGCTGAAGCGCTGCCCGCGGCGGGGAAGGCTCCGAAACCAGCGAGCCAGGGGGGAGGCGAGTCCCGCCCCACTCACCGCGAGCCCCGGGCAGGGGCAGCAGCAGCAGCAGCAGCAGCGCCAGGAGCCCCCGGGCGCCGGGCGGGCAGCGCGGAGCCGAGACCATGGCAGCGGCAGCGGGGGTCGGGGAGCACTCGCGGGGCGAAGGCTGCGGCACGTCTGTGGCAACCCCAGAGCTGGCCACACTCAGGGCTAAGGGGGCGTGGCCATGCGGGAAAGGGGCGGAGTCTCAGCCGGGCGGGGGCGGGGCTGGTGTCATTGCTGGGCACCCACGTGCTGTCCGGGCAGCAGGTGCCTGACCCCGGGGGCTGCGCTTGGCCGGGGTCACTGGTTCGGCCCCGGGGTCAGCGCCCAGCCTGCACCGTGGGAGGCCCTGCCCGAGCCCACGCGCGGCCGTGGGCCCATTACACGGAGCGCGGGCAGCAGTTCGTGGGCTCCGTGGGCGGCGGATCTAACCTGCGCCGGCTTTGGAGCGTCCAGTCCCTCAGCCCCCGGGCTCGGAGCGGCTGTTGGGCTTGTGCGCATCAGGGTGAGTGTAAATGACGTGCCCGGCCCAGCCGGCCGCGGGTTTCCCTTCGCTCTGTGTCCCCCGCGGAGCGCAACAGCCTCCCCCGTCCTCCGCAGCCATCGACCCCCTGCGTCTCCCACGCGTGGCTCCGCCCTCCAGCGACAAACACCTGTCGGGGCTAGTTCAATCCTCTCTCCCCCGACCCAGGGCCATTGCCCGCTAACCGGGTTAGAGCCAAGGGGGCAGCGTAAGGGGGAGTAGGAATAAAGCCGCTTAAAATGGGGCGGGTTCAGTTCCCTAAGTGGGCAGCACAACTGAAATAGGATCCAGGTTTTATCTATAGTCACTTGGACGACAAATCGCTGTACAAACATTCGTTTATCAGCTAAGTGGAAGGAAGTGGTTACCAAGGAATGTAAAAAACACACTCACCCCTCGCTCTTGGGTTCTGGGGAATTCAACCCTCAGCTTATGCCAGTCCTGAGCTCATGGGAGAGGAGGAGGGGGTATGACTGGTCTCTAGCAAACAATCTGAATACTGAGGCATTTTCCCCAGAATCACAATAACCTTTCTGCAGTGAAAGTAGTGTCACCAATCCTTCCCCCCGACAATCCTACCTTGTTTTGAAGAAGCTGCTTCTGCATCACTGCAAAATGTTGGCACCCACAGGCACCCAAAGGAAATCTCTTGCACTTGCTAAACCTGTTGGCCCACTGATGACCAAGACTGGCAACCACTAATTTTTTTCCATGGGTGCTCCAACCCTGCAGCCCTGGGAGAAGAGTTTGTGCAGGCAGAGCTCCAATCCAGCAGAATAAACACTGACATGTTTGCCAAGATTGTGCGGGCCGTAGGGGAAAAGGGCTACACCAGGGACACGCAGTAATGCTGCGTGAAAATAAAGGAGCTTCGGCAAGCGTACCAGAAGACAAGAGAGGTAAAGAGTCATTCTGGTTCTGCCCCACAGACATGCCGCTTTTATGAGGAGCGGCATGTGATTCTCAGCAGCGACCCCACCACTATCCCAAAACGCTCTGTGGATACCTCCCAGGAGCCCCGGGTGACCTCGAGCAACAACGTGGAGACATTGTTGATGAGAAAGAGGAGGAGGAGGATGTGAGGCAGGCAAGCAGAAGATCCATTCTCCTCAACAGCCAAGAACTGTTTTTTACCCGGGAGCCCATCTCTTCACAGGACCAATTGCCGGCACAGCGTGATGCTGGGGAAGGCACCTCTGGTGCTTACACATTTCCAGTCAAACCGTAGAGGTTACATGCTATTATTTTTAATGTTTACTTTCAACAAAAAGGTAGGTGTAGTGGGTATCAATGACCACTCCATCTATGCACAGGGTGCTCTCTGAAAAAGTCTGTTTATGTGCACTGGGATGGCCCAGGAATCCTCCATAGAAATCTCTAGGAAGCTTTCATGGAGGTACTCTGCAAACCACCGTGGTAGGATATTTTCCCACACCACTCCGGTATTAACTCATTTGGCATCATTGCGGCACACAGCATTGCAGCATAAAGACCAGGTTTGTACCCAGACGATTTCAGCATCTGCTCCCTTCCTGCCTCTGTTACCCTCAGGAGAGTGATATCACATATGGCCACCTAGGGGAAACGGGTGAAGTTTTCAGTGCTAGCCCTTAAACTGCAATCAATTCAACAAGTAATTCACCCCTGTTTGGTGAAATCTGGGACACACAACCACGATTTCCCAAGTGTGCCATGGTTGTGGTTGAAAGGGATCACCGTTTATTGCACGGGTGGGCAAACTCCGGCCTGCCAGACCTTTTTAAAATTAAATTAATGGAGATATCCCATCTCCTAGAA